ACTGGTGCCTTCAGAGAGCACACTACATTACACTTGTTTTATTACTGAAACCCTTTTTTTTAAGGACCAGTTTTCATTCAGGTAAGGGTCAACTACTGTACATATGCAATACTGCTGACAGCAGGAAACATCCTCTTCTGTACTTCAAAGCTTTTTTTTTAAATAGCACCTATTATGTTCAAACCAAATGTTTCAAACAGAAGACTGATCTTTCACAGCCTTGCTTTGCTTTGTTAAACTTTTTCTGAGGATTTTTTTAAATATGGCACCATTAGACAGGCAATGCACTGGGATGGGGGTGCTTTTCACGAGTTAATAGTGTCACGCCCTCTGCAGCCAGAGGGCGCTTCTACTCTGTCCTGTCCCTAGTTTCCTGCCTGCTGGCCTTCCGGTTCCTCTCTTTCCCTTGGGCTATATATTTCTGGGTCTTGCACTCTGCCCTCGCTCAGCATTGACGTTCGGATGTCCTGAGACCCGCCTAGCACCAGGGCACCCCACGTCCGCTCCCTGAGGGCATGGGTTTCTATACAGCTCTCCTGAACTCTTTGCACTAACGAGCCCGGGTCTTTTTCCCGTTCTGCCGCTATGCATACTGTATAGGTCTTTTTCCGCTCTCTTGCTCTCCAGGGTTAGTCCCTTTGGTCGTCCGTGACAAATAGCTTTTGCAGAACCACAGTCACGATGCCTTAACCAAGTGTTTGACACACTAGGCTGGTCCCCTGACCTTTCACTGCCAGTGGCATAAAAATGACAAAGTGAAGGCTGTGAAAACATTTACAATACACTTTATGCACAATGCAGGTGTTTTCATAACTCTAGGAGGTTTCCTGAAAACGCTATTAATGTTAGCACGTCTTAATACTTCGTAGATTAGTCCTTTTTTTTAATATGAAGAAGTAACCAGTTTCTCTTAAATAAATATGCAAATCAAAGGATGTTTAAAGTTTTGACATGTCTTTTGAGACACGTATTTAAAAACGTTGGAATTAACTTCCTGTTTTTCCTGTAAAACCATTGTTTTGTATCTTTTTAATTGTAAACATGAAAAAGAACTACGATTTTTTTAAGGGGCACAATGTACTAAACTGACCCAGGTACAGTTCATAACACATCTGCAAAACAGCACTGGAAACTCTACTCAGACCGCTGAAATATTGGACACATTTTTATTTTCATATAAGACAACTGAAAAAACAGTCATCATCCATGTCCTTGTATTTACAGTGCTCTTACTTGCAAACATAGCACGATTTTTTATGCATTTTTGGTCAATCCTTGGTGTAAAATACAGCGTGAGGGCACACCTTAACCTCTGAAGACACAGATCTGAGTGTCCTTGTTAAGTCATCGTATTACTGCGAGCTGAAATCGTGTCTCTTGCTGTATGCAATGTAATGACGCAGGACACGCTTGCTTGTCGTGCTCTGTGAAGTCGCTCTCCCACCAAACGGCACAATAACTGAAACCCACCTTATTTTGTTAGTGCGGCGTTTGTGCCTGTTTGTGGCGTTGAAAGTATTGTAGCTTTTATTCTGCTTTCATTACCGAGATATAACGCTTTGTTTTTTTTCGGGTAATCACGTGACTGTCTACAAGGACATTTATAGGTACCAACATACTCGATGCTTTTAATTATTGGATGTGATGGAAACAACGGATTCAATCTTGTTTCTTATAATCTGTTGATGGTAATTAAAAACTGCTTAATGTAAAGAAAATTGGGAATTTGTCAATGAACGTTAACTTCTTTAGTCGATTTCTTTTTGTTCTACGTTATCATAAACTGTGAACACTTTTTGAAAACAAGTCTATGGTGAATGTAACTACTCTCTGTACCTATAGGATTTACCTACTCTCACTACCCTGGTAAAATCCAGCTGACTTTTGTCGTGAAACTAGACACTCCTCTATGTCATATTAATACCAGATCTAAACTTTGCCAACACATTTGTAGAAGAACAATTTTTATCCTTCTTTGTGACTTCAGGATTGCCGGTTGTACCATGGAAAATGAGGAGAAGTGGCCCAAGGCAACAACTAGACTGACTACCAGAAGGTAATACAGTATACTGGAAATACCCCATGAAGGATCAGAATGACCAGAACACAAACAAGACTGTCCAATTCCCTGTCGTGGGCCCTGAGTGTGGGGTACTATACAGTACCTGCAGAACTGAACCAGTTGGAGTATGCACACACGGTACCCCAGAGGACACACTTTCTTACCAAGACGGAGTATGGAACAAGCTACCCAGCCATGGAGTTGAAGCTGATACTTTACTTCCTTCAAGAAACAGCTGGATGAGATCCTCAGGTCAGTAAGCTACTACCAAATGGGCCAGACAGACTGAATAGCTTCCTCTTGTTTGTAAACTTTTTTATCTTTTTTTTAACTTTATATTATTTACTTGAGTTTATTTTTAATTTAAAATAACATTCGGTTCTGAGGTTACTGAAAATATTATTTAATTTGCCTCAAACAAATAAGACATTTTCAGAAGGTTTTGTAGGCTGTGCTGGTGCAGGAGAAATTCTATACAAATATAATGTACAGGTAAAGCAGATTAATATTTTAACACCAAAAAGTATGTGAAGGTGTCAAGTATGATGAATAATAATTAAACCAAATTTAACAAAATTGAGTCATGGGGCTGGCAGGCACCACAACTGGTTTTGGGGGTGGTGTTTGGAGATAAACTTTGCTCTACTGCTCACCACGGTCTGTCAAAATCAATAGCAGTTTGTTCTGAACCTCACCGTGACTGAATCGAACAAATTGGTACCGTAAACACATAATGGCTGTTGCCGTGGTCTACGTATTCACGATTTTACTGTCGATTATACTAACATGGTTCACGCTTTGTGTCAGAAAAAGGTAAGAGATGATTTGCGTATGTACTAAAAAGTTACTGTTCTTAAATACGCTCATGTTTAGTAAACGGAAGCTCCAGTTTTCCTCAAGGAAATCTTAACGTAGATTTTTAACCACGTTATTAATTGCTGTACAATGTTCCGTATTGTGCCTGTTTTTAAACTTTCTTAAACACTGTAACGTCTAGGTAGTGTGTATACTCTGAGGTTAAATGTTTCTACTGTTACGTTTATAACGAGTGCTTTATATGTATAATTCTTAAAAACGATAATACATAGCTTTTGAGAAGCATTCTACAGTGCACCAACAGAGATGATAATTTTGCATTTGCAGTACTATCCTTGTGTTCCGATTTCTTTCGTTTTAAAATACGCGTATATTTAAAGACTCGGACGTTTTTCGGTTGTTCTTGTACCAACTTGAAAAGATTCGCACATACAATACAGTAGCTAAACTGCTCGAAATGTAAATACAACCCACAGATTACATTTGAATCTGCTCCACACTGCTACGAACAATTACTAAAAGCACAAGAGCAGGCGACTAAAAACGAAAAGCTCTTGATTCTCTACGATTTCATTTATGAAACAGTATTTAAAATATTCACAGTCGCTATCGACATAATGTAATGTCTTCAGCACCAGGTGATATTTGGTTTCGTGTATTATTTTAAGATAATATCAGATCTCTGAAAAATAAACTGGTGGTTTGTTTCTCACCTTGTTTTTTTTAGTCTTGTTTCTCATCATAGGCTTGATTGTGTGATGCAGCGCTTTTATTAGTGTTGCAAGATTAACATGAACTCTCTATACTGTACACCTACACTACACGTAGAACTCAGTTCAAGTCATACTGTACAGTACACTTAATTTGATGTATACAGGATGTTCATCAGGGAGAGTGATATAGCTCTCTTAATAGATCGATATATAAATAGATACATAGAAAACAAATAACAGTGTTTCTAACCAAACATAGTGTACTCAGCGGTATAACACAGAGCTACAGTACATTGTTTTTACTACTGTACTGGTAGATGCCTTAGGTTAGTGATAATGTTTGAAAGTGGTTTCATAACTGAGAAAAATATTTTTTTTATATTTTTAAATGACAAACTTCTAATGATATATGTTGATACATGGACTGTTTAAATAAATTAGTTTAGTCAGTTCATTATTTAACTGTTTTATGGATCATAGAGCAAATTAGAGATTGTAATTCCCATAGGTGGTATTGTCAAATCTAAACTTGTAGAGATTTCTTAAGTTGCCGTAAATGGTTACTTTCTTAGCATTATACTAATATGGCGTTTTGAAATGACAAAGTAGTGGTCATACACTTTTGAACGTTTTTACCTGACTGAGGTTTTCTTTTACAAAGGAGGAAATTAGCAATAAACTGACAGTTAACTTGCTCAATGTCCTTAGACAACTAATGACTTATCTTACTTGGCATCTTTAACCCATGGAGACATGGCCCCTTAGGCAAGAGATAAACCCAACTACAAGCTTTTGCCTTGAGCTCAAACTGCAATGTATTCAACAGGGGGGGTTACGAGTTAGCTGTCCAACCAAGCTGGCCTCTTCACCTGCATTCAAATGTGTCATTTTTACTGAGCTCTTTCATTCAGCTGAACCTAGTGTCAGGGAATATTCACAGTTCTTAATAAGTGTCTTATCTCATGCACCTGGGCAATGATAGTGGCTGTTGTTGGGTGACTAACAAAGATCAGTCCCAACGTTGTTGCTGACCCTCTTTTGCACATCCATAGAGGGCTGCTCAACAATAGGTAGCTTTCGCATGGCTTCAAGCCACAAATGCTGCCTTATTAGTGGGACAGCAGGAATGAGTGACAGTTATTTAAAATATGAGTTAAAAGCCCTGGGTAGTATAGCATAAACGTACACTACGGCTGTTTGAAAGAGGGTCCCTGCAAGACAGGTCTGCAGATATATACTTTACAATCAGGAATGAGGGAAAAGCATGGAGGGAAAACTCAACAAGCAATAAACACTGTTGCAGAAAAAATACAAAAGCACAATACATAAACAAGGGATGGTATAAATTTAATATAATAACCTAAATTAAATATACAGAGAACATGAACCTTTCATTAAGGTTAATGCCATACACTGATCTGCTTGTTTTCAATCTGCTTAATTTATTTTGTATTCCGTACTTTTTCCTGATGTGGCATTATCATTATTTTAGAAGTAGCCTGATGATGTTATTATTCAATATATAAAGTAAATTATACAAATTTAAATGTACAAATAACGTGGAATGGTATCACTATTTTTTATAGGCAAGTAGGTGAGCCCCCTCTAGAAAATGGTTGGATCCCATTTCTTGGAGTTGCCCTGGAATTTCGACAAAATCCCCTGGAATTCCTCCGATCGAAGCAAAGGAAATATGGAGACAGTTTCACTTGTAAAATAGCTGGGAATTTCTTCACCTTCATAATGGATCCATTCTCATACAGTGCTGTGTTTCGGCAAGGGAAAAACCTTGATTTCCAGACGTTTGCCATTGAAACATCAAGAAAGGTAACCTGAAGCAAACAGAATGTGAAGGTGGTATCAGTCTGTTCTGGTGTTCCCATCTTGTAAAAGGTAGAAAGAATTTTAGATTTTGTAAAACAGACGATTAGGTAAAACAGAGCATTCATTAGCTTGCATGCTTATTCTTTTCATGTCCTCAAAATAAATTATCTAGCTGAACAAAGGCTGGTGAACCTCCCCTCACCTCTTACCAAATTTTTCACCATAGCAACAGCAGAGCCCTGGCAGAGTAGGAACACAGGGTCCTTCTCTTCAAGCCAATCTTACTTTCAAGGGACGAGAAGAAATGCAGGGGCCGAATACAAACCACAGTGGATAGTTTACAATTAAAGTTTAAAATACACAGATGGATTAAAAACAAAATATTTAAATGGCATCATTATGTCATACCTTTGTGAAGGCTCTCATGCTTTTGAAAAAAAGGGATATCGAGTAATTCGCTTCACCCAGGTGATGCTACAGTATGTGATGATTTGACTTTGACGTTTTTATTAATTACACTTCATTTTATTCATTATTCATTTATTAAAGTTTTTATTCATTACACTAGGCTAAACACAAAACTGGAAAAAAATAACATTCATTTTTTGCATCTCTTTTTTCTAACTTCCCGTTTGAGAAGTATTCCTCCATTGGCGTATTGGTATATTGTCCAGCTGTCCATATATATTTGGAATCTATATTTAAACATACTGTTAGTTGTGTTAGAGCTTTAGATGTACTTCTGCTTTTCTTGTTGGGAATAAATTTAATAATTATTTCAACAATAATAATACTTTTATAATAGATGTTGGATATTAAGGGAACATAATGACTGGACACTGTTTTCCAATAATGAGAAAACTGTGACAAATAATACTTATTCAAAATATAAATTAAAATATTGTAATATGAAATAGAACAAAAATCTATATATGAGACCAGTATATTACCTTATACCACCACTGAATACTGATTGAACTATTTCAACTCATATCCTCATTTTCATAGTGCAGGACTGATGACAGCACTAGCACTGTTTATGTTATAAAATACCGGGAACAGCAACAGTGATTTGGGAAGTCCATATAACTCAATTTTTTTTTTAGGTTAGAACAAAAACAGAAACAATGACCACATGTTCACTGAATAACACCAAAAGGAGAATTCAATAAATATTTTAACCATGATATCCTGTAACTGCAAGATTCTTTTATAAAGGACTGAAATCAAATGTAACTTAAAAGGAATTTTGCAAAAGTGATAATATCAGGCAAATGATACACAAAGCAGAATTTTAATTCTATTATAAATCTCAAATGTGATGCAAATGTGATGCTTTTCAACTGACGAGATGAACTCTACACTAGTTTCTCCTGCCGTATGCGCATATACCCCCTGCTCTCTGCCTCTTCTTACCTGCTCTGTCTATTGTTCTGCTACACCTTGTCTCTTTGCAATTTTCCCTCTCTCTCTCACACCTGGAGAAGTCTCCACAGCTGAAACATAGTGTTTCTTTTCTTAACTTTTCAGCATGGAATGAACCTTTATTACCAGGTTTATTTTGTGTATCCCACTCTACATTCTTGTTTTCCATAATTCATACTTTACATGCATTCTCCTCATTATTATTACAGTATGACATAAGGTGTATTGTCACTCTTTTCAGTTTTTCCAGATGTGATCATGATATCTTAAAAAAAAAGTTCTGGTTAATTTTAAACATGTCTAAACTTCACTTGAGCAATGAACATTCCTATATTTCTTATATTTTAAATAAACACACAACAGAAAGGGAAATATGCATATTGCATATACGATAAAAAACAAACGCTTTGCTTGATTGAAAAAAAAAATGTTGAGAACTTGTAAATATATCATTATATATCAAATGTATCATTGTAAATGTATCAGTGTTAACTATAACAGCATTTACCGATACATGTGCTGTATCTTTACAGTTGCTTTATAACAAGTAGGCCATCCTATAAAAACGGGTGAAGTAATTATTAAGACAAGTGGATAGTTTTATAAACTATAAAAAATATTATATTAGAAAGGAATATTATTGACATACAACCCTCAATATGTGGAAAATGTATAAACAAATCATGAATATAATTTCAAACATTATATAGATTTCAACCTAAAAATGTTTTTCACTTAAAACTTAGAGATAAAGGGAAGAATTCATACAGGTATATGACATGAGATGCTTGAATTCCACTTTACATGTGTAAAGTGCAGACCTCGTTTATCCGTTGGAACACATGCGGTTAATATTTAAGAAGAATGTCTGAGGAAACATGAATGCATAACATGAGAGTTTCTGCTCTGTCCACAGTGATGTCATAATTTCCTAATGCTGTATTTAAGAGTGTGTTCAATGCTGGGTAGACTTCAAGCTGCAATGTCCCAACAAACTGCTTCAGATGTTGTAGGAGCAGCACCAGTGCGTTACTGAGAGAAAGCAGGGATGTACAGTTTGTTGTAAAAAGCATTGTGTGGTAATAGTAAACAAGCTTGGTAGTAGTTCTTTAATGGTCTGCAGAGGCATATGTTCTCCTCAAGTGACACACTTGGGACTCACTAATGGCAGCCTAACAAGAACAGAATACAGGGCCAATATGCTCAAACCCGTCATGCAAGTGAATTGCTCTAGAAACAATTCGGGTAACTTACTCTGGGATTCCACAGGGGAATGTAGCTTAATGAGTATGCCTTTGGACCCATGTCAGACAGGTTGTGGGTTCAAGGACCTGCTGCAGAGACTGCTGTGTTACTGCTGGGTGAGGTACTTTACCCCGGTTGTATAGGTGAAGACCAGCATTGCTAATACAACTGGGCAGACTGAAGCAACCGGGTAATCCCAGTGATGGATTGGGCTCCCAATCATGGGGGATTCATGTGTTCTGTAGTCTCCTTAGCACTTCAGAAACCATGATGAATCCTGGCCAAATGAGCTGCTGATATGGACTATATTTTTACCTCTGGCATTCCAGACAAACTTTATCTGTTAGAACATCTATGAGGTGCATACAGCTTGCATTTATCAATGCTAAGTTATCATACAAGTTATTAACTTTGCAGCTTGCACTTACATTCCTTATGTGACATTATGGAGACATATACTGTAGAATATGAAGACTCAGATTCCATGCTCGGTTACTTTATTGGAGAAAACTAATTGTCTAAGTTTGTTTTCTCCTCAGGTGTTTGGTCATGCAGATTTCAATGATCCCATCTATAACAGAAATTACAAAGAAATACATGCCTTGTTTCGTCAGACACTTCAAGGCCCAGCCTTGCATAACCTGACTTCTAGCATGATGGAAAACTTGCAAACCGTGATGTTGAGAAATAAGACCTCAGAATGGACAACGGAAGGGCTTCAGAGTTTTTCTTTCCGGATTATGTTTGAAGCTGGCTTTCGGACATTGTTTGGAAGAGAGGAAAAGCCCTCAGAAATGGAAAATATTGAGCCAAAAAAGTTCCAGATGACTACAGCCATGGATAATTTCAATGTGTTTGACAGAGCATTTCCTGAAATAGCAGCAGGATTCCCAATCTACCTGCTCAAAAAAGCCTACACAGCAAGAGAGGCATTAACTGAAAGGCTTCAACACAAATACTTGAAAAAGAACCATGGTCTGTCAGCACTGATCGAGCGAAGGATGAATCTTTTTGATCAGATGCCTTACCTTGATGAGCTGGGAAAAGCAAGAACACACACAGCCATGTTATGGGCATCGCAGGCTAATACCTTGCCTGCAACATTCTGGAGCCTGTATTACATGCTAAGGTAAAGGTGTTTTTCCTTATCATTTTTATGATGATGATGATGATAATAATAATAATAATAATAATAATAATAATAATAATAAAAATAATAATAATTGCTTACACTTATATAGCGCTTTTCTGGACACTCCACTCAAAGCGCTTTACAGGTAATGGGGACTCCCCTCCCCCCCCCCCAATGTGCAGCATCCACCTGGATGATGCGACGGCAGCCATAGTGCGCCAGAACGCTCACCACACATCAGCTATCAGTGGGGAGGAGACCAGAGTAATGAAGCCAATTCATAGAGGGGGATTATTAGGAGGCCAAGATTGGTAAGGACAAAGGGGAAATTTGGCCAGGACGCCGGGGTAACACCCCTACTCTTTTCGAGAAACGCCCTGGGATTTTTAATGACCACAGAGAGTCAGGACCTCGGTTTTACGTCTCATCCGAAGGACGGCGCCTGTTTACAGTATAGTGTCCCTGTCACTGGGGCATTGGGACCCACGTGGACCGCAGGGTGAGCGCCCCCTGCTGGCCCCACTAACAACCCTTCAACATCGGAAGAGGTGTTAGTGGTAACATCATGCCTATGATAGGCATGATGTTACCATAGCTTAACTGTTGACCAGAATATACTCTGTGAGAGTTCTGCTTTTCTTGTGACTTTGTAAGATGTACAACCAAAACGTCCACTATTTCTACACCACATGTACAAGAACAGTTGTTTTTTACCTTTAATGCTTGTGCCATGTATGTGCTGTTGTTTTTTTTTAAACATGACACCAAGATATCACCATTTTCTCCAATTTCAGGGCTTGTAAAAGCTATGGGGGTTGTACTGCATTTATTGGAACTACTTAGTATAGTCAAGACAACCCAATTCTTGTGACTATTTTTTACATTACTGTGTTTGGCTACATTACAAGACTGTCCTTTTGGCCCCATTCTTTAAAATGAGATTAGCAAGCTGTACCATTGACAATTGCTATGCAGCGTAGCAGAATATTGCCAGTTCTCTGTTGTACAAATCCAAGAAAGCAGCTGGAAGAGATATATCTAAAATGGTCAGTGCTATTGATTGCAAAGGGGAAGCTTCCATTTTTGGCAATTAATTTGTTTTAAACATAATTATTAATTAGTTAATGATTGCCATTATCCTATCTGTAAAATTGTGATATACTGTATGTGAAAATGAGTGAAGTCTGGAGTCCAATTGTTGTGAGATGAGAAATGTATTTTCCTGCCTGGACCCTTTCCTTCCCTAACTTCAGTTAAAAGGGAATCAAATCTGCAACCAAAGGTCTAAGTCATTTTGTTTTTAAGAGCGTTGTGTTTAAACACATAACTGTACGCATTTAAACAAACATCATGATCACGTTATGATTTGATTCACAGGTGAGCCTGCACTGATCTGAGAAATAAGAGCCTGCCAATAAATGAGCAAATGTAGAATTAATTTCCATTGTGTATGTTGTTTTAAACAAAAATGCATTAGAGAGAATTTTTCTTTCCCAGAAATCTCTATACTGCTGGGACAGATGTTTATTTACTGCTGTGGTTTAAAGTGCTTAGGTTGTACACTATGTTTGGAAATGTTGTCCTGCTGGAGACGTAAACATACTGTATCTTTAACGTTTATTTTAACTAAAGGTCACCAGAAGCCTTGAAAGTGGCTCAAACTGAAGTAGAGCGTGTGATTCAGGAATCGAATCAAAAGCTGGATAAGATGAAAAAAACAGTGGTCCTTTCTAAAGAACAGCTAGACAGCATGTCAGCCTTAGGTAAGTTTTTAACATGTACTAAAATGACAAATCAAACAAGTATCAGTGTTATCCTTGGTCAGTGAGATCCTGTTCATTTTGTTAATTTAGCACAGTGGCTTCAATACCTAGTTTTAATACCATCTATACAGTAGAACTGTTTAAAATAAAGAGTCATACAAAACACAAATTTAGTACTAATTAATGCAACGTAGATGAAACATCATGAAAGTTTATTTGGTGTTACTTGCCTGGCTGAGACCATAACAGTCTGACTGTAAGGACAGTCGCTCTGCAAGGAATGAGCCGGGGAGCAGCTGCAAGGGAAAAGAATGGGTGGAAACAGGAATGTGAACAAAGTTGTGCAAAAGGGTAGCTCAGGAGGTGAGATATTTATAGTATGAGCACATTCCAAATTTCTTCATGAGCACATTCCAAATTTCTTCATATACAATGCAGAGTTCTTGATTAGACAATCTGCTAAAAGCTTTTATCAGAATTGCAGGATAAGACATTATTGAATAATAATAATGCCAGCCTTTGCAGCAGCCCCTGGTGTAAAGGGGTAGTGTGCACCTGACTTTGATATTCCATCCTTGCAATTAACAAATGTCTTTGCTGTTCCTGCAAGACTATGTTGTAGAAGTGGAAGCTGTGTTTGTCCTTAAACTTTTAAAATCAAGACTTTAAATTGTACTTTTTGGGATTGGGGTGTAATGGGGGCAATAACTGTGACACCACTTTTCTAAACATTCATATCCATCAAATGTATTAACAGTGGATTTTCTCCACAAATAAACAATGTAGCACAAACTGGAGGATACAAGAAAATGTGCATTTAAAACAATAACAAGAGGGACAACTATACCCAAAGAGTTTTGGGGTGGGAATATGGAACAAACTACCCAGCCATGTTTTTGAAGCCTATACACTTGCTTCTAGTTGACATTCTTGAATCAATAAGAATAAGCTACAGGCTAGGTATGCAGGATGGCCTCCTCTCATTGGTAACTGTTTTGATGTTCTAATTGTCCAAGGATACAATGTCAAATCACATTAAGTGAACAAAGCATACAGTATGCAGACTTTATATCAATCTGCCAATGTCTTTACATGCCTTTTAATTAGATTTATTGCATTTCTCATTTTAGGTAGCATTATAGATGAAGCATTGCGACTTTCCAGTGCATCAATAATGATCCGTGTGGCGACTGAAAATTTTGTTTTGAACATGGATTCTGGTAAAAATGTATCTATCCGTAAAGGAGATCGTATTGCAATGTTTCCTCAGATGATACATATGGATCCAGAGATCTATGAAAATCCCACGGTATGTCACAAAGAGATATTGGTTATGCAAAGGCTAAGAAACACACAGCTATTCAAAATGAACTGCAAGGGGATGAAGCTGAACATTAATATCAGACAGATGAAGCTTTAGACTATATAGTTTAATAAAAGGTCATAACTGATGAGAAGCACAAAGCTTTTAAACTCCTGTGAAAGATTTGTTTTTCCCTTATGTAGTTATGATAGTCTTACTGCAGTACTGTATGTGCTAAATATCAGTATTGAAAAAAAAATGAATATTTTTAAGAAGTTATTAAAGAATTTAGTTTTATCTGCTTTTTCCAACTACATTTTTAGTCTTTATATATTTATAAATAATTAGAGAATATGAACAAGAATATGTGAAGGCTCAGTCAATGCTGAATGGTAAAGAAAAGAATGACAACATCTTGGCCGTCCCTCTCTCCCTTATACCTGAAGAAGGCTTCACCTTTATCTGCTTTTTACTTTTCAGTGTGGAATGAATCTTTACATGTGCTGACGCAGCTGCCTGCTTGAACATGAACAAGAACGCGTTTCCTTGCAGCCTTACATAATCATAGCCTTACAGTATTTTGCTTGCACTGTTTGCAGTTGGGACCACAATTTTGAATTGTGGGAATTTTGTGTCAAGATGCAACAAATGTTTGTCTCCAAAACTCTCTTGGCGCATGCCTTACAAAATAAATGTGAAAATAGATTATGTTGAGTTACTTCTGGCTTCATACAGCTCCCAGTCTAGAGTGAGTAACTAGTCATGCAAGGCAATACATGTTTTTTACATTATAAGATGTTCCCATAAGGAATGAACAGGGTAGCTCCCCTTATGAACAATTGAAGAACATTGAGACATTGGCAATTACTTTATGTGTATATACTGAGGTGGTGACATTTAAAAAACAACATTTCTGTGCATGTGCATGTTGTAATTACAGCTGTGACTATGCAGTATGTTTTATTTCCCATGATTAAGATTATTCTTTTTCCCACTAGGAATTCAAATTCAATAGGTTCCTGGATGAAAATGGACAAAAGAAGACATTTTTCTACAAAAATCAGAGAAAACTTAAAAATTTTCTCTTGCCATTTGGATCTGGTGTCAGTGAGTGCCCTGGACGCTTTTTTGCTGTTAACGAAATTAAACAGTTTTTGGCTCTAGTCGTTTTCTATTATGATATGGAGTTAAAAGACCCTGCTACTCCTGTTGATATAGACTGTTCCCGGGCTGGTCTAGGTATACTTCCTCCAAAGCATGATGTGTTGTTCAGATACAAGCTAAAAGACTGTATAAGTGAGTGAAAGTGCCACATGTGTTCATATTACTGTATTATGAAAAGAGATAATACAAAAATGAAAAAAATGAAAATGAGATTGTGCTATTCAGACCCGTTTTCAGAATAATGTTGCATCATTTGCATATAATAGTATTTAATGCATGAGAAAGGTTTGTAGGAATGTTAAATTGGTACTACTTTGAAATGTGTTACATTAAGTATGACAGAAATAATCTGTTGTTGGTTAAAAAAATTGACTAAACACTAAAATGATGTAAAGATATTATATACACCATAGATATTTATTTTTGTTTGCAAAAATGGATACTGGCTCAGTAAAAGCTATTTTGTTCATTAATTTTATTTGTTGAAAATGTTCCTGCTTTAAAAATTCTAATCTATAGTTATTTATGCAACATACTGTACAGTTCTATTACTGTCTTTCTGTTCTTATTCTAACCTATTATATGTTTCAATTTCTGTTCTAAACCTGCAAAAGTTACTGTATGTTCATAGCAAATATTAGATATGGGTGAGGAGGTAAGAAAAGAAATGTTGAAGATGGAAAGAAAATAAAAATTGACCTCTTAATGCACAGATTGTCTGTCTTTTTTTGTGTATTATCATCTAAATTTGGCTGATTTACACTGGAAAGAGGATAGCTGTGGACAGAAGCCTATTAGCGCCACAGAGAAAAAAAAATGTATTACCTTTAATTAAACAATTGTGCATTTAAATACGATGTTTATTATGTTATGTTTACAATACACAAGCTAGTGCATTTTGTTTGGCATTCCCGTATCTCTTTACATTAATTTCTGTGCAAACTGACACAGAAATACTGTTTTTTCTCTCTTCAAATGACACGCTTCCTGCATTTTGCATGCAATTTCAAATGATAATATATTGGATGGAAGCATAGGCTTAAGGACTTTGAGGTATTGGAACTATCGACCAACAGTAATAGTAACAGGGCAGCAACAGTAGGCATACAGTATGTCTTACTGTCAAGTCATCATAAATATATTTTGTTCAGTGTTTAAAGATTTGGCAGAAACCTTGTGGTATTTTTCTGTAGTTTCACATGAAGAATGTTACTTGTTTGTAAGGCCATGTAATTTCTGTTTTTCATAGAAATGGTGAAAAAGACCAGCACAAAAAGGAGTGAGACAACATTGTTCTGTTGTTAAAGACCCTGAATGCTACTTCGCATGGGACAATTTTACTGCATTTGTATTGCAAGACATTTTTATATTAGGTAAATATCGAATTGTGGTGGAAAATTATCTTATTTAAAAGCAATAAGTATCTCTTTTAAATGAAAAAATATCTTGATTAATAGCAATACATATTTTTGTTTCCCCTTGGCACAAATAGGCTTCCATAGCCTTTGAGAATTTCTCCTTAAAGAACTGCCTACAGTAAGTGACTGCAAATAAAGCTTGTCTGCTAAGGATTTCTGGGTCTCTCCTAGAGATTGCTACCCACAACTAACCAGCAGTTTGCGTTTTGAAAAGGAATATTGTAATGAATGATTTAGAAAATCTCAATATTTAGAGGAATCTTCTCTACAACACAGCTGCAATTTCTGCTCTTATCTCATTGTTCTGCTGGGGTTATTACTGCTTGAGCAGCAGTGGCTGTAGAGTTCAACCCCAGGTGGAACTGTGTTGCTGTAGCTTTGAGCCCAGTGCCCAGTGCCCAGTGCTCTAGCCATTGCAGCTGTAGAAATGTACAGTATGTGTAAAAATAGGTCATTGTAAGCTCCCGCAAGACAGACGACGCTTTGTCAATAATTCAGTGTGAAATTCTTGCTGTACAGCACATATCCAGAGTGGTTTCTCATCTTGGTAATGCTTGGGAAATACAAGGATTTAGGAAGGCCAGGGACTTTCTGGGAACGAATCTCACAGATTCTGGGAATCAGGGAGGAAGTCTGTTCTTGGTGTTGTGCTGTGATCCAGTGCCTGGCCATCACCAGTAAGAAGTAAATTCTATTTGAGGGACGTTCTCATTCGTCTGAATCCACACAAGCCCTTTTAACTGCTGATATTCATTTTGCTTCTCTCTGACATTTTCTCTCTTCATTTGCATTCCAATCAATGTCTTCAAAAGATGGTGTATCTCACAATCATGTACAAATCAAAACCGCTTTAACCAGCTTCCACGCAATTCATTTTAATGGCCTGGAAATTCCGGTTCAAAGGTTTGTACTGCTAAGTATTGTCATGAAGTGCAGATTACCAAAGATAACATTTAGCCCTGGGGTTGGGACATATAAAAAGACCAATTAAGTTTAGTATTAAGTTCAGTAATAAAAACTGATCCAAACTACTAAGGCCATGGCATATTTCTAAAGGATCGGTGTGGGTGTTGAGAGAGATCTGCTTTGTTTGGACTGCCTTGATTCCAGCATTGTTATCACCAGGATGCAGATCCCTTTCCTTTGCTCTCTTCAACTCCCCACACCCTCCCCCTGTCCTTTCGTCCTGCAGCTCCTGCAGTTCAGTGACACAGCAAGCTCCTCCTGGAGCCCCTTACTTCAAGGAGAACTGCAATGCAATTTGTAGATGTCGGGGTTGACAAGAATCAGCACTGAGGAGTGCATTTCAAACCACAATGAAAGTAAAATGTGCACATTCTACTTGTAACAGGTCAAGCCTCCAATGCCCATCACGACATACAGTAGATGACATTTTTCAGGTATGCGCAGCGCTATATTCTGTGATTCAAAACGAGGCAACAAAAAAAGCCGGTGATGTGTTGCAGCCCTATTACATTGTAAACAAACAAGTTTATGTTTGTTTACAAACTCTTTTAATCCGATATAATTATTGCCCTCGACTGCGAGACAGTTTTGCACATAAATGGAACTTACTTGTAATCTCTGCATGCAGATCGTGCTGGATTTCTGTGGTGAAATATCTATTGCGCAACCTGTACTCAGCTCATACGTCGCATCGCATTAGCCATTGCAGTGACTAGCGAGTAGGAAGCACATCGTGTCAGAATTCATGTGGACTCTTGCTCTCGCCCGTGGCGACTTACAGGACTTTCACAAAGTTCACGATTGTGTGCTTAATTCGAAATTTGTAACATTTTTCTATATGGTGAATGAATATAGTTTGTTACCGAGATTTAATAACCGGTCTGCGAAATTAGGAGTACAGTGTCCCTTTCAGTCCCAAAGTCTACCTTGAGACCTAGAGAAGATAAAATAAGGTACTGCCATATTAATAATTAGAACCACGGAGAATTTGAAAATGACCTAAAACCCTAAAGGCTGTTTCAAGAACATCCACAAGTCTTATTTCCATAGCTTTTTTTTTTTTTTTTCTTTTTTTTTCTTTTTTTTTTTATACAGCACCACCAAACCAGATCTCAAGCAAGTAGCAAGCTTTGGCCTGGCCTGTACAATATGGCAGTGTCCTGGTGCCACGGGGGAAAAACTAAAAATATTTCAAAACTCATGTACAGTAGGACTTTTTATCTCCTGCCATAATCTGGCAGGGCATTGCCATAGTTATTAGGATGGGAAACCAGATTGCTGCTTTGTAATGCAGAAGTGGCAGCCCTCTGGACTAAAATTTCCAGTTAAAAGCTGTAGTATGGTGACAGGGGGCATTGCGCGGTAGGATAAATTCTGCTCAGGGTTTGTACAGTCAGCTACTTCCTCCCTTAATTCAATTGGAGCTTCCCCTTTTAACTGATATGATGTGCTGTATATCCACCACACAGCCTCCAGGCAATTAACCAATACTTCTGCCTACCATCCTCTCCAACAGGATCCTACCACTGACTACGCAGAAAAACTTTGCAGACGACCACACAGTGCACCATCTAACCTATAGAATGTGCAGTGGTGGATGAAATTAGTTTTTTTTTTATATACAGTATGTTAAGTGCTTTGGGACCTTTGGAAAGTGCTATAAAAACATTAGTATTACTAAATCACAGATATAAGTTTTGTACTGTGCATGGTTTATTTCCAATTGTCGTAAAAAGGGAGTTAGAAGTGGAAACATATATTAAATTAATATATAATATCAAATATTTTAACAACTTCATTTTAACTTAAATCTATTTTTTTTTTTGCTCAATCTTAGATTCCAAGACTTATAATAATTGCTTACACTTATATAGCACTGTTTCTGGACACTCCACTCAAAGCACTTTACAGGTAATAGGGACTCCCCTCCTCCACCACCAATGATGTGACAGCAACCATAGTGCACCAGAACACACACCACACATCAGCCATCAGCATGGAGGAGAGCAGAGTAATGAAGCCAATTCTTAGAGGGGGATTATTAGAAGGCCATGATTGGTAAGGGCCAATGGAGTACACCCCTACTCTTTTAATGACCACAGAGAGTCAGGACCTCTGACCGCAGGGTGAGCGCCCCCTGCTGGCCCCACTAACACCTCTTCCAGCAGCAACCTTAGTTTTTCCCAGGAGGTCTCTCATCCAGGTACTGACCAGGCTCACACCTGCTTAGCTTTAGTGGGTTACCAGTTGTGTGTTGCAGGGTGATATCGCTGCTTATTTAAAAAAACAGACCTCATATAAAAACTAAGGCTGCGTTTTACGTTACTGACTTCAGTATAACTAAAATCAAAGGCATTTTTTATTGAGTATTCGTTACGTTCAGAGCCAAAAATACCTTCAGCACTACTAAGGTGCATGTGCGTCTATTTAGTACATGTGACTTTTAGTCATTGTTCATAGGTGAAGTACGGCCAAGAAACACGTCATTATTTTTGTATCACATTAAGTAAAACTGTAGGCATATTTAGAGGAATATCGTTTTTTGTAATATCGTTACTTGGATTGTTTTGTTTTTTCACAAGTATCTGTTCAGGGAAAACACTTGTATAATTCTAAGGCTATTATGCCAATGCTCTGGACTGGCTAAAGTGTTTTTGCCGCATTTGTATACACATCTACTTCATCAACATTTTATTTTTCGTTGAACGAACTTAATACATCTGAAAGATCATACTGCGGTTTTTGTATGGCAGGTACAAATAATATTAAAGATTTAGCATAACGGAAGAAGAGGGTTACGGTATCAAGATAAACGCCTAGGGTCTGAAAAATGATCCACTGAACATATTCGTCACGTTGATTAACCGAGCGCACATCATGGGGTAAAGTGTCATTGCTGATACCGGGAAGCTGATCCACTAAGCCGGGGCTCTGCAAGGTCGCAGGATTCTGCGCATCGGCTGTGAGGACCCCCTTTAGTAAATGTGCATGTAGTCCTTCCAGTGTGACCGGAAAGCGAGGCTGATATCACTGGTGTTGTATGTTCTAAGGGGTACCAGGAGGCAGATAAAATTTTAACATACAGTACGAGTCGCATCCACAATTAGGTGAGTGCACAATGTTAATTTTTTTTTTTTACAAATTGGGCCACTAGATAGAATTGCAGCGGTTAAAAAAAAAAACACTTTAATTTTTTGCCCATGAATGAACTTCGGCCAAATGAGTACCGGTGTCCGTGGGTTTAGAGCACTGCATATGTACAGTAAAAGCACAGAAGAACAGAATAATGGAAAAGAAAAATGATCCCGTATGTAATATATAGCTATATAGATGTGACGCGCTGTAAACTGGATAACCAAAGTGTTCGGAAAATTACAAATACTGTAAATCCGTTCATTCGCTCATACAAATTATACAGTTGACGTCCTCTCACCAAAATAAACTAGAATATTTCCTGTGTTTACGTTTTGTCGATATTTAAATTAAACTATAAATCAATACTTCATTCATATGGTAATATTGCCTATCCAGAGACAGTACACACGTATGTAGTATTTAGGTTTTTGGTGATGTTACGACTTTTCCCCCCAATAAACATCTGCTGCCACGTACTGTGAGGTTAAAGGCCTTAATAACTTACCTCCAGTGTGCTACATATTTATCTTTTGAAACACTATACTATAGTTACAGTAATTAGTAACCTGTATTTATACTTACATTCGAAAATTGTGTTTATTTTTTTTTTCAATTAACATGATAATAAATTAACAGCTAAAATGAATTTCGTTCAGGGATATTGCTCTCGAAAATGCGGTCAGTGTAAGTTTGGAATAAACTCTTAAAATAGAGTGCCCAGTAAAAATATGCTATGGCTAACACACAGAGGGTTTGTTTATAACCCTTATCTTGATATATTTTTAACTTGTTGATAATATTGTTTAGATTTGTCCTTAGGACATCAATATCACTTGGGTAAATTAAACACTAGGAAGAGCAGTATTAGTGCTCGTGTTACCTGAAATAACATGTGGTCACTTAAGCACTCATTTATACCCTTATAAATGTGAATATTGGTTACTAATGAGAACACTAGATTACATTAATTCATTTACAGTACATTAATTTAAACACCAAAAGTATAGAGAAAACAAATTGTGCCATTAGCTGAAATGGAATCTTTCTCTAGTCAGTGCCTTGTTGTTAATTTCATTTTACATGTAGGAGTTTTGCTAAGTTTGTATCCTAGGCTGTTAGGTTTTGGAACTTGGTCTGGGATCAAGGACCTGGCCTAAGATGAAAAAATAACTTAAGTCATATGACAGACAACAGCATCGTAAGTGTTACATTTTATGTAAAAATGTATTTTCATGTTCTTGGTGTAGATGTGCAGTTTGAGATTTTGCATTTGTCCCTTTGAGCAAGGGAAAATTCCTGTGGACAACTTTGGAGTCCTTTCTCATGCAAAATAACCTATTAACATACAGGACACTGAAGGGACATGGCTTAAATGTAGGGAAATGAGATGTTTTCTTAAATACACTAATGCACCTAATTGTATGGGTTTAGCTGTGGAGGATTATTTATTTACTGTATTGAGTACTAAGAAAATGAGAGAGAACCTTTTTTTACTTCTGAGTGTGATATGACATACTGTATGGGTCTATGCACGTAATTGAATGCAGAGGGTTAAATGCAGTATTTTGGGCTTTGGAACCTTTTGAGTGTGTCTTGTTTATTTTTATTTAATAAATGTCTTTGTCATTATTAAAATAGCTTTTGACAAACCTATTTCGCAAGCACAGTATTGAGCTAACATATAGCATCATGAAGCCATAAAATTCTTTCTTATTATCAATTCTTATTCCAACCTGATAACAAGAATACGTTATGTCAACAAACAAAAGCTAGAGTTGGAAGCTCAGAGCTCATAGATAGTACAGTACCTTAACTCAGATTAAATGTTTTAGGAATGAGGATGTTTCACCTACTGTACAAATCTATGCTTTCTACTTAACAGTTACAACTTGATAATTTGAGTTTTTTTGTAATATATATTTTTGCTGTATCTATATTTTAAAATTACTGTGTCCCTTTGTTTGATTTCATGTGTTAGTAATATAATCTTAGTGAGAAACTCACTGTTCTTTCTGTTAGTATTAACAATGATAACCAATCTAATGAACTGCACATCAGTACACTGGGATCAATCCATCTCCAAATGTCCACACTTTGGATCCATACCATACCTTAGTAGGTCGGTTTTAATTTAATTTAAGTAATTACTTGATACAGTTTTTTAAGCTTCAAGATAATTTTATGAGCGGCACCGTGTATTGTAAATAGCCATACAGTACTGCAAAATAGCATTTTAATAGTTGAGTAAATAGTGTTGGTTTGTATTACTGTGTACTCTTACTACAACACTTTACAACTTGACTAGTGATTTAATAATAAGGAGTTAAGTTATAACTTCTAATTCACCTATTTAGTCAAAACAATGGCAAAGTTTTCACCTTTACTTCAGAGAGGTGAACGCCACAGATATTCATTGTAAGAATGAACTCTGTAAGAGGTTTCCACTAACTTATTATTTATGTCAACTACACAGTGTAGGAACAAATGCTGAAATTAATCCACGAACATTTTAACATTTTGGGCACTGAAGATTGTGAGAGATAACATTTTAAATGCTATCTCTTGCAATGCAAAAGTATTTTACCACTGGTGTAAGATACAGTTTGATAAAAATTCCACATTAAAAGCAGTTCTGTACATTAATCTGTTCTAGGTGTAATAAGTCCACCGTTGTGTGGTTGGTGGCCTATGTAGTATATCATTACTGGATTGTACTTTATCTATGGTGTACTGTAAGATACAGTTTGATCAAATTCCACATTTAAAGCAGTACTGTACATTAATCTGTTCTAGGTGTAATACAGTAGGTCCAACATTGTGTGGTTAGCATTACTGGATTGTACTTTATCTATGGTGTACATTAACATTTTATTCTGTGTTCATGTCTTCAGTGAATTAAGGACAATTTAAAAACCCTGTGCAGATTGTTTTCTTTCAGCATTAAGTTATACAGTAGTTTGTGTTTCCTGGCAGATTGTAATTGCATATTGTAATTGCTGTTTTACCTTCTCCATTGGGTGCCATTGGGAATGTGAAAGAAATGTGTAAGAAATTCTCACTATACTAGAAGTAAAAAGTGCAATTTTTAAATACTGTATGTTTTTAAATGAACTGAAAATAATACTGACCTTATCTCTTCTAAATCTGTTTTGAAGGCAATTAATTAGAAACAAGTGAACAATGTCTCTGTACCCATCATTGGAAGACATGAAGGTTGATAAATTCATGCAGGTGAGTTTTTGTGAATTGCCTTAAAATACAGTAGATGGTCATGTTGTGTTTTATGCAGTATGTGTAAATGAACTTAGATGACGTGATGATGAGTTGTATACACTAATGCCATACACATAGGGACACATTGCCTTGAACAGAAGGACAAAAACTCAATTGATCTTGAAAAATCATTATCATGAAGGCAGTGCCTCACAATATTTTTGAGTTTTAAACCGGAGGTGTCAGAAAACCTATAACATTCATGTAGAATACTTCAGTATCTCACTTTATCAAGATATTTTTTGTCATGGTCTTTTTTTATTGCCTTTTCTAGGCTCAAAGTTCATTTGCAGCCAGATCATCACTGCCTCCAGCATTGCCAGAAAGATCTGATTTGAATTCGACTGATGTGGACAATGGTAAGACATGGCGTGGTCTGTGCATATAAGCAAATAGTGTTACACATACAGTATTGTATGTATTTTTACTGTGGGGCATGGTGATTATACAGGCTTAGCAAAATGTTTGTTCTCAGGATTCAAATTATAGAAACATTTATTTATGCTGGAGATTAGCCCAGCCTTCTTATATAGTTTGGATTTATGTTCAAGTAAGGCCAGCAGCCATATCACCCTGCAACTCACAACTGGCAACCCACTGAAGCTCAGCAGGTGTGAGCCTGGTCAGTACTTGGATGGGAGACCTCCTGGGAATAACTAAGGTTGCTGCTGGTTAGAGGGGCCAGCAGGGGGCACTCACCCTGCGGTCTATGTGGGTCCTAATGCCCCATTATAGTGATGGGGATACTATACTGTAAACAGGCGCCGTCTTTTGGCTGAGATGTAAAACCATTAAAAATCCCAGGGTGTTTCTCGAAAAGAGTAGGGGTGTAATCCTGGTGTCCTGGCCAAATTTCCCATTGCCCCTTACCAATCATGGCCTCCAAATCATCCCCATCTATGAATTGGCTTCATTACTTTGTTCTCCCCACTAATAGTGTGTGGTGAGCGTTCTGGCACACTATGACTGCCGTCGCATCATCCAGATGGGGCTGCACATTGGTGGTGGAGGGGAGTCCCCATTACCTGTAAAGCACTTTGAGTGAAGTGTCCAGAAAAGTGCTATATAAGTGTAAGCAATTATTATTAAGTCCATGTTATTGCTTGCTATGTCAGTATTTTACTGTGTATTAAGATTTAGATCACCAGTTAAAACAGTTGTAATTACCTTATCATTGTAATATAAATTATTTGTTCATAATAAAAAGATACATTTTTCCTAGAACATGAATCACATGAAGGGAATTGCGGAAGGTTACACATTCTCAAACCTTTTTACTCACCATGCTGTTACATCTGCCAAAAGATAAAGAAAAATTTAATGAAGGTCACAGAAAACTTTGATGTTTAGCTAAATGTTGCATTTTTTGTAGCTTTGCTCATGTGTTATACATTTTAGGTTGTTTTTTCCCCAGCTGGAGTAGTGTAAAAAGTTGACTGTTTGGAATGCCTGGGAAAACAGATGTCCGCCCACATTTGAGGGATAAAATAATTCTTTTGTGTCTTTTGTGTGAATTACTCCCTAATGTGCTTGAGAGTTATGCTGTGAAAGTTCCAAATGATTTATAGTGCATCTTTATAGGTATTTTGAAAAGTCTGTATTGATGTTGCAATACATGTCCCATTAAGATACTTTAATATCATTATTTATTTTGCTCCAGGGCTTTATCCAAAGTTATATCCAGAACTCTCAGAATTCATGGGCCTTAATCTCAGCGATGATGCCCTGTGCCAGAACCTTTCAGTGGTTCCCTCTGAAGTAAGTTCTGCGGTATGTGTCTGCTTTCGAATTTGTTGTGTTACTTTGTGCTGTACTTTACTGTGCATTGCTAAAGATCCATATGAAATGAAATCATTCACATCACAAATTACAAATTAGAAGTTAATCCTTAACAGGCTTCCATTGTGTAGGGGGAAGCTTCAGCGGTCAGATAAAGGTGTACTGTGAAAAATTGCATTTGCACTTGGAACTTGTAATAGGTTGACATTTTAATTGAATCCAGACCTACTGTAAATATATTAACATCTGCCAACAGGGAACCTAACTGATTACATGTGTTAAGTATAGAAAGAATCAAATAAGCTGTTGAACTATCAAGCAACGTTCAGTGTTTACAGTGCATGAGGCATATTGTTTGGTTTTAATGATTCAGCCAGGCATTCTTTCCTATAAGTATCCAGCTGTTCATGAGCTTGCCAGGATTTCACTTGAGGAATGATATTTAGATATTAAAAATCCCTTTGAGCAGAGATGCACAACATCAAAACGAATGTGATTTACGAGTTTAGAAATTGGAATAATTTGAAGTTACTGGTTCATCATGCACAACGAACTGCTGTTCTAGTAAAAGGGCTGTATGTTTTAAGCGGCACAGTAGAAAAACTTTCATAAAATTCTTGTTATCATTCACCTAGAGTGACACAACAAAGGTTGCGTATATTTCCAATATAGTACCTCATAAAATGACATTTGAATTGAAATCATTATTCTGTCAACAAGCTGTCTCATTGGTGAAAATACATTTTAGAAGCTTTAGAAGCTATGTAACATTGCAATGGAACCAGGATTTATTGTATATCTCATCAAAGTGTTTACACATGACCTGAAATATGTTGTAATGACATTTAATGAATGTATATATGATTTATTGTTTTTGTTCTAATGAAGCTTCTTCTTTTTCCCCTGAAGCAAATAGCAGCCAGACCATCTGCAGTGAATTACATGACTGCACCGATTACAGGAAGTAATATTGGAATACGCAGAGCCGAAATCAAACAGGGAATCCGGGAAGTGATCTTATGTAAAGATGCAGAGGGAAAAATAGGGTTACGTCTGAAATCTGTGGATAATGTAGGTAAAACATATAAAAAGGTCATATTTAATTAAATACCTACTTAACCTACTTTGCACCTGTTTTATTTAAAGTGTAGTTACTTCCTCCTATAATGTTTTTTTACAAATGAATACTGACTCTTATGGTCAGAATTATTTTATAGATATTAAGTGTTTTTTCTAGTAAAATGTTTCAGAAGTATTTTATAATAATGATAATACTTTGTCTGATTTCTCAGAATCTACTCTGGAATCATGGTTTCTCGGTCATCTATTAGATGCTATCAGTCAGCCATTAGTCCAACAATTGATCCATCATATATTATAAATATGCATCAAAAAGCCCATTAAGATATACAAATAATATATCTGAAAATAAATGCAAGTGCTGTAAAGGAACTTGTACAGTACAATTAAAAATGATGACTACAATAACTATTAATAGTTTGTTAATTATTTTTACTTAAACTACTTTTTAATGTATGTTTAGATGTATATCAATGGATCAATTCACTCCTTTGTTTAGGTGGAAAATAACCTTTACCATGGTATGGTTTAATCTCATGAAAAATAGGTAATATAGGATCTCTGTTTAGCCAAATGTACATGACCTGATATGTGCTGTATAGTGGACAGCATCTACAGTATCACTTTGGAGTATAGGGTGTATGTTCTGTTTCCCATCGCTTTGATTAATGTTTCTGAAACAGTAATAATGATGCTATGGATTGTTATAACTACATCAGTAATAAATAATAAATTATCTTAGTGAAAGGAAATTTAAGTTAATATATACAGTATGAAACTTTGGGTTATTTCCAGTTTTCGTAATTTAATCTTCACAAAAAAGATAAGTTTCCAAACACACAGGTAATGTAGCTGAAAGATATTTAGGAACCAGAGTGGAAGCTCTGTTATGAAAGAGTCTGAATGCTTACCACAAAGCCCTGCCACAATTCCAATAAGAGCCATATCACAAAATAATCCACCAATTTCTGCTGTATGCAGTGTTTACAAATGTTCTTCAGCTGTATGATGGATTAATTTGATTTAAACTTGTTTAATGCTAAAATTGGCAAAATGTAGGATTACGAAGCATAACAAAAGCTATCTCATTATGTTTTGTAAAATGATTACAAACTGCTAGGTTTACAATGTGTTAAAAGGGGAGCACTAGTCCCAGTTTCTCAGATGTTATTTAATCTCAGTAACAAAATAAATTAATTGACACTCTCGCAAACTGAATTAAGTACAAAATCATGAAAACCGTGGAAGTTCTGTATGGTCACCATGATGTTGCAAACTGTTGGACTCACCATGGGAGAGGGGCGAGGGTTTGTGAGAATTGTGATGGCAAGAGGCCCTTCCTGCTCACTAGTCATTGGACTGACTAATATAAGGCTAATATATGAGTGAATAAGTACAGGCTGTACAGCAGACATTTTCCTGCAGAGATAACAAGTAGCTTTTGTTCAGCAAAACCGCCTTGAAGTCAAGCAACATTTCTACTAGATTAAAAGAGATGTATTCACAAGCCTGCTTCTTTACAATGTAATAGGGCCACTTCATGTCACCAGATGTTTTGTTGCCTCATTCTGAATCACACACAATGACGGCAATATGGTGCTACACATACCTGGAAATTTGAGCTATTTTATGATGTAAACTGGAGGTTTTACATGTTACTGTGTACATTTTACTTTCACTTTGGTTTGAAATGCACTCATCAATGCCGATTCTTATTAAGCTTGAAATTTAAAAACAGAGTTACAGTTCCCCTTTAAAATCCATCGGTGAAACCCTGTTCTTTTCTTATTAAGTTTTATTAAAAGGCAATGCTATAGAACAGTAGTAAGCAACAAATTCTTCAAATGTATTAAAATAACTCAGAGCTTACATACAGTACATGCATGTTAACTTGATGAATTTGACCTGTCATTGGCCCCGGGAGGTTATAAAGCAGGCTGTTCAATGTTGTGCAGGGTGTGTTTGTTCAGCTGGTACAAGCAAACACTCCGGCTGCCCTGGGTGGCTTGCGATTTGGGGACCAAGTGCTTCAGATCAATGGAGAGAACTGTGCTGGCTGGAACACGGACAAAGCTCACAAAGCGCTCAAGAATGCTGCTGCTGAAAGGATAGTGTTCATTGTCCGGGATAGGTAATGTTCCCATTTTTAAATTATTCATGTGCAAAAAACAATTACTCTGCTGAAATATTGATACATGTGCCTCACTCTGCTTCCATTTATCTCCCTGACAGACCATTTGAGCGAACCATCACTATGCATAAGGACAGTAATGGACAAGTTGGCTTTGTTTTCAAGAAGGGAAAGATAACCTTCATTGTAAAGGACAGCTCTGCAGCTCGAAATGGGCTTCTCACTGAGCACCACGTTTGTGAGGTGAATGGCCAGAATGTCATTGGATTAAAGGTAATTAGAATAGTAAATTTTTCAGCTTGGTTGAAAAAATAGATGTGTAATACAAACTTGTTTGGAGGATTACATTCAGATATAATAGACAATCCCTTGGTATATGTGTTTTGTAATTTAGAAATGCAAGGTTGTGTTACCCTTTTATATCCACCAATCTGGAATATTCCTCAATGGTTCAGACTGACCTGACACACCACTGTGTCCTCAGCACCAGCCTGGGGAAGATTAAGACCTTAGCATCCTCTAAAAGTCAAAGAGTAGGTGCTAGAACTCAATTGTGATGCAGGCATCCACTCAGACCATAGGCTAGAGATTAATTGCTCTTTTTTAAAGGCACTTTTACAGTTAGGTTTTTAAAAATGTGGAACACCTCGACACACTTGTTGACTTCTGGGTGCTCCTCTGCTGTATAGTGGAGCACAGAGGAAAGGAAGCTTAAGGTATAGTAAGCTGCTGCTTAAGTCCCCTTTCTCATTTTCTAAGGTTGTTTAGAATAATCCTTTAGTTAAAACAGAGAAGAAAACAAATATTCACAGCTTCTATCATTAGCCTGCACATTGAACTATGCATTTCAATGAATGGTAAAGTATAACATACCATTTCAGTTGAAAATAATCTTAAAACAGTGAATATTTAAGTATTCACTGAAAGTGTGTTTTATAAGGAAGGTTAAAGCCCACAGGTCGACTTGAGCTGATCTGATTCAACTCATCTTTGTTCTGTGAGCAAATTATCTGAAAAATATTTTCCTCATCCCACAAAAGTGACTTCATCCAACCCCTGTCATCCCTAATTGTACTGTACTCACCGCCTCACACACGACGTGGATTTCCAGCCAAGGGAGAAGAGCTTTACTGTGTCAAAAACAGCACACATTTCAGAGCTCCATATAAATGATATCAAGTTGGGCCAGGACCCAGTGAAGCCAGGGGAGAGAATGCAAAGGCATCTTTTTAGCTCTGGTCAGAAAACCCAATATGATCCGTTGGATCAGACCAAGCAGATGTGCTTCTGAATCTGGAGGATGAGTCATCAGGTGAGAACAGGGAATGTTCCTTTTTAAGAAAAATGAGAAAAGAGCAAGACACCTGTTTTCAGAAGTTAAAAACTAAAAAAAAGATGCTGACTGTGCCCACTGAACATTGTGTACAGGTGACTTGGAACAGGTTTCATCTGATATTGAGTTTGAGCAGTCATATACACTCTGTGAAGAACATTTAGTGAGTCATTTTGATGATTAGGATTTTGGGAAGGAGAATTTACATCATCCTACTCTAGGAAATAGCTTTACTTGTTTCATTTAAAACTAACAATAAATTGACCTGCATAGTCTTTGTTTTGCCAAATCAGACCAGTGCTGGGGACAGGTTTGAGAGATATTTTTGGAATTACAAATGTGCTATTAAGTCTTTATTTTAACTTTCAATAGGATTCTCAGATCTCGGATGTACTGAATTCAGCTGGAAGTGTAATAACAATAACTGTTATGCCATCGTTCATCTTTGAGCATATGACAAAGAAGTAAGTATTCTTGAATACTAAAA